GTCCAGTGCTTCCAGGTTTCTAATGGTGGTCTAACATTGATCGATTCATGGTTTCAAAAAATGTGTAACTTAACAATCTTCACAACAACCCCGTAATGCAAATTACCTGTGCTCACTAGTGATTAGCTTCGTGAGGAATCTTCTCCGAGTTCTAGTGGGAAGACGTGACCAGTGAAGTTCAACCTGTTCGGGTGTAGGCAGTGTCTACCGAAGACTGTGTATGAGGTTGCGTAACTCCGTGAATTTGATCAAGTTAGACATTAACACCACCGTGTCAGTGGTCTAACGGTTAGGGCATTCGTGCACAATACCAAAGGTCCCGGGTTCGAATCCTGCGGCGTGCAGGAGTCGTGGATGTGCACTGCTGAGGAGTCCCATACTAGGACGAAACGGCCGTCCAGTGCCTCCAGGTTTCTAATGGTGGTCTAACACTGATCGATTCATGGTTTCAGAAAATGTATTCTACGCTCATTCTAACAACTTATTCGGTATGAAACACAGACTAGTTACATCAATAATTCATTAATAACTAAACAGATTTATTTATAGTTAAATTTTTTTTATTGGTCTAATGTTTATTCTGTTCCAAATTTTTAATGGATATTTAACTTCAACAGCGTTTAAAAATTGTTTCATAACATCAAGTTGAAATAAAACACCTTGAAATATACATATATAATATAAACAATGGATATTGTGAACCATTTAACTGATAACATAACATTCAAATGACATGATTTACACTTTCCTAGTGACTAGTTCGCCTATTAATTAGGAAAAATTGATCACTGATTTTTTGTCTTCCAAGAAGTAAAAAACTTTTACTTTCATCATTTTGGTATATGTACTCTTTTTTTCTTACTGGTCGTCAATAAACCAGAAAAACTGAATAGATTTTCAGTAATTAGAATTTAATGTTTAAATACTTTTTTTTCTAGAAAATGTTAACAAATAATTATTCTCTAAGATTGAAATTAAATTGCATAGAATCTGAAAAATCTATTGTGAAAATGCACAAGTTAGAACATTTTTGCACTCATTAGTTTTAAAAAATATAATCGGATCTTACTTACATTATGAATATGAGTGACTTCTATAATGCGAACTATGTGATTGTTATTATCTCAAGTTGTTGAGTTATATAGTATTGCTAGGATATCAATTAACAAGTTATTTTGATCTTACTATGGTGTCATATCAAGAGTTGACTGCTTCTTCACTTTCTAATGCCTTGTTCAAGAGCTGGAAAATATAATATACCGAGTGGAAGTGACAGTGATGATATTTTTCAAATATCATACTGGTTTTTCAAGGTCAATGATATTAGTTGAATTATCCTCACTCACTCTTGGTACACCTATTTCTGAATATTAGTATAACGAACTTAGTGTTATCACCACTAATTGTAAACAATCCTTTGGGGGTTATGATAAATGAATTCAGGCAGTTACTTCAATCCCCCCTTCCTAATTAATAATATAATTAGTTAATGCTTCATACTAGGAATAACTGCATTTTATTATAAAGTAAATTATTCAGTCAGTAAACAGTCACTATTTGCATGCGAGAAGTTAATCTTTTACTTTACAAATAATCTTGGCTTTCGTGTAGATGAATGCTCTCCCATATCCAGAGTAAAACTTAACAGATTTCCTGTGTATGGATAACCGTTTTGTAGCCGGGTTCTTTCTTGTGAGATGGGGTTGTTAAACCTACATCGAACTCTCCTTTACTTCTGATATGTTCGTCACTAGGTACGCTTGAAGTTATTATGAGTTCACCTTAGTCGATAAACGCAAACGAGACAATGAACCAGCGTCTAGAAAGGCTACCTTGAATCCCAAGCAATAAACATAAGGCTTGGTAAGCGTAGAAAGTATATTCTACAAACACCCAGCAATCACAATACAATCAAACTCACAACTCTCGTTTATTTATACATCATAGAAACGTCCTTGGGACAGTTACGAAAATAGCACACACAGCATACACAGCAGCCAGTCACAGCCGTGGATTTTGCTGGTGGGAAATGACATCTCAAGATCAACTGATCAGCCCATGCTCACAAACGTGAAATCCAAAATAAGGCAATTATCAAGCGAGTTTTGGGGATCTAACATTCCCAACAACTTCTCCTTGAAACTGGCTGTAATTCTAGTGAAGCTCTTGGCCAAAAAGTTTGCACATGGTATCTTCAGAATATTTTACCTGTAATACATCACATATTACTCAATAATTTTATAATTTTTGTAAAGATTTTGAATAAAAAAATAAAGGAATCAAGTTAATAAGTTTTATTTCAACATTGAAACCATATAATATTTGAGAAATTTGAATTGTGTCGACGATATTGATTGTGGTAGTAGCCAATCAGAAAGCTATTGAACAATTCATAATTGAACATTGAGAAAATGACAATCAAAAGTGAAACAGTTTAAATTTGATGCATGAATTGTCACATTGTTGAATTGTCTCGTGTATCAAAATACTAAACGGTTAAATTGAAGAGTTGAAGTTGAATTTTTTGTCATGAATTCTTCAGAACTTTTTAACACCCTTGGAAGATAGGATTCTATGTTTCAGTAACCTTCAGAGACTGGGCAAACACCTCTTGGTTCCGCCTTCCGAGTTCTGTCCAACTTTTCTTCATTCTTCGCATATCTGTCTCCATTCCTCTGCGCAATTTGATCCTTGACCTTCATCATTTCCTTTGGTGTTGAGGATCCCATGTGAGAGGTGATCTTGTGACGCAGTTGTGTGCTTTGCTCATAGTGTGTCCTATTCAATTCCAGAGCTTTTTACTGATTTTCTCCTCCTCTAAAATCTGGTTTGTTTCCTCCCACAGTGGGTTGTTACTGGTGGTGTCTGGCTTTGCTTTGAAAGCTGTTAATAAATACTTGTATCGTCTGGATGATGGTTTTCGTAGTTCTCCAAGTTCCTGCCTCATACTGCAGAACTGTCTTGGCATTTATATGAGAAATTCTGATTTCGGTGTTGGTTGATAGTTGTTTTGAGTTGCAGGTATTGTTCAATTGTAGAAATGCAGCCCATGCTTTGCCGATCCGCGCTTTCACATCTGCATCAGATCCACCTTGCTTGTCAATGATGCTGACCAGATATGTAAAGCATTTTACGTCCTTCAAGGCATTTCCATCAAGTGATTTGGTTGGCGCATGTTGTGTTATATCGAGGAATCTTGCTTTTCCTTTCGTATATGTTGAGATCTGCTGTTGCTGAGGCTCCTGCAACACTGGTCGCCTTCTTCTGTATTTTTTGTCGCGTGTGCGATGGAAGAACCAGATCATCTGCGAAGTCCAGATCGTCCAGCTACATCCTGGCTGTCCAGTTGATTCCGTGCTTCCCTCTAGATGTTTACATCATAATCCAGTCAATCACCTGGAGAAACACAAAGGATGAGAGTAAGCAACCTTGTCTGACACCGGTCTTCGCTTTGAACAAGTCTGTCAGCTTTATAATATCTGAAAAAATTTCAATTCTAATTTCAATCACTAACATTATTTCAAAATATAATTTTTACATGTAACATTATTTTTTTGTACAATTAATGCTCGCTCAAATTAAAACAAATCATTTATTCAAATATGAATATGGAATATTCAAATTTCATTTGTTACTCACGAATTAATGGATTTCTAAATAAATAATATTCATTCAACGTAAAGTTGGATTTGATTGAACATTGAAATGAACAAAATTTCATTCTATATTGAAGAATATTTTGTATACATTTTCAAATTGTATCGTTAAAACTAATCACATAAATTGATCAATAAAATTTTCAAATTTTATAAATAACCAACCATTTGATTATTATTTTTTTTTCCTTTCTGTTCCAGAAAATTTTCAAATTTATTCATAAAGGCTAGGTGAGTTCGTTTATTGTAATGCTTTTTGCTTTTTTCACGTTCATTTATCGAGAGATGATCGAGTTTCATTGATATCATAAACCGATCAAAGTTTGACAATCACTTGAAAAAAAAAACTGGAAACACTGAATAATCGTTCATCATCCCAGTGTAGGACATTGAAACAGTGCGAATCTATGAACTCCTAACCTGTTGGGCTGGTTAAATCCTCAAGACTCGCTTGATAAATATCTTTATTTTTTGGATTTATTTCATGGACCGTTCGGTTGACCTTGAGATCACATTTCCCACCAGCAAAATCCTTGGCTGTGATTGGTTAGTGTGCTGTTTTTGTGATTGTCCCAAGGACGTCTCTGTAGAGTATAAATAAACGCAATTTGAGTGCTTGGATTGATTGTGTTCTTTCTGGGTTTTGTATAATACATGAGTCCAACCCAGGACAGTAGACCTGACATTCTAGCACTTAGCCTCTACATCACCAAGCTGAGATGTAGTGTTCGATTACCGGGTTAGGAGTTTGTATCTATGCACTGTTCAGGAATTCTTTACTTGTGAAAACCAGCCATCTAATGATTCTAAACTTTCAGTAGTTATCTAACTTCCATAGATCTTTGATCTGAAAGAAATTCAATGGTCTTCTTTTGATTTGATTATGAGTTTTAAAATGGCTTTTTCTCAACTCTCTGTTCAAAGGCTTTTTTTAGAACACCAATCACAAAACAAAATTCGAATGTTTGTAGTGTTTCGGTTTTTTTCAAAAAAAAATATTCAGACAAATCTAACTAGTTGATCATTCTATTTTTGTTGTTGTTGATAAAAACTTGTTTATTAAACAGAAATTCCTAGACAACTAGTAGTAGTCACGCCAGTAATACACGATTACTATAAATACAAAGATACTTGTGATATTTCATTTGGCAAATCATTCATCCTCATCATTTCTTTTATTCAATTACAATTTTCGCTTAAAGCAATTCAATTGTTTAATGTTTAAGGGGTTATTTTTTGTCTTCATATCATTGTTATCATTATTATTGTATCAAAACTATTCTGTAGAAAGTAAATTACAATTCTTCTTTTTTAAAAAAGTTGTATCGTCTTTTATTTTTTCTCATGATCAAAATATTTTTTGCATTGAACATTGAACAAGTAAAAATGTTCTGTTTATTGAACTAATCATCCATTGATCATTTTACATAGATTTAAAGTTTGAATTCATTAATTAATTGATGGATATCACTAATTGATCTAAGATGGTGGAGAAAATTTGTAGCTCAGATGGAGGATGATTTTGGTGTGATGTTTCGTTCTGTGAGCTGGTTATTTTGGTTGGGGAGCTTTCATTGCTGTTCTTCATCTGAACAACATCATTAGTAAAAACTTCAGATCGAAGTGAAACATTCGAATTTTTTCAACGTTTGACTTGTAGCTTGTTCTGCTAACCTCGAGCTTGATTAGATGTTGTTGACCTTAAACCTGCCATTGTTTGCTTCTTCCTCCTTTCTGCTGCTTTACCCCTACATGAAGTTTGTGCTGATGATGTTGTTCAGAAGAATAGTGAAAGCTCCACAACCAAAACAATCAGCTCACAGAACGAAACACCAGCCTAATCGATTTAAGTTCCACAACCATTATTTATTTTCACAAGCACTGGACAGTCATTTTGTCCTACTACGAGACTCCAGGACATTGTCTATCCACAACCTTCAAACACACATATAAACATTATGCAGATGTTGAATTAAAGAAATAAGGTTGAGAGGTATTTAAGTTTGCACTGACCTCTTGTCACACTGTAGAAACAATATTTTCTTCTAATTAATATTTTGAAGTCTAGATTTACATCAGTAGTACTACTGGGTAATATTAAGTAGCGTATAATATATATTTCACTCTTGAATTATTCCGTGTCACTATCTGGGTGAATATGATATTTATTGAAATGAGCTTAAACCTTACATGCGGATAATATCAGATAGCATTTAGACCACACATGTAACAACTTACTGACCAGAGTTTACTTCACTGTAAAATTAAAGATTTCTACGGTTGTGTGCCGACTGTATCTAATTTTTAAAAAAAGGGATTTTTAGCTACGTTCAACTTGTTTATTATGTAAATAACAGTGAGCATTGAGTTCATTTTCATTCGACAAAGTATTCTATTGTAACTTGAAGTGATCAAACACTCAGTTAATAAATTTTTTTCAGTCAATTAATAACTAATTTTCGATTAGAGTTATGGGGATTAGTGTTTTTACACATTTGAAAGCATTAATCAATCCTTGTTAGACCACCATTAGAAACGTGGAAGCACTGAACGGCCTGGTATGAGACTCATCAACTGTCTAACAATGATTGATCGATGATTTCAAATGTGTAAAAACACTAATCTCCATAAATTCCAACTGAAAAAATTGTACTCACTAGTGACTAGCTAAGTGAGGAAATTCTCGGAGTTCCAGTGAGATGTGACTAGTGGAATTCAAGCCTGTTGGATGTAAGCATTAACTACTGACGACAAGTGAGTGAGGTCGCGCAAAATCCATAGATCAGTCAAAGTTAGATATTAACACCGTTGGATGCCGGCTCAGTGGTCCAATTGTTAAGTGTTCGCGCACAATACCGAAAGTCCAGGGTTCGAATCCTACGAGATGTAGGAGTCGTGGATGCGCACTGCTGATCACTCCCATACAAGGACGAAACGGCCGTCCAATGCTTCCAGGTTTCTAATGGTGGTCTAACAATGACTGATTGGTGATTTCAAATGTTTAATTAAAAACTAATCCAGACTTTACGATCTCACTAATTTGATTGCGAAATAATTATTGACATGCTGTACACAACTGTTAGAACACGGTTCATTCTTTAAGTACTTTTTCTACAAACAAAAGCAATACA